ACTATATCTTGTTATGATTTGAAATCTGTATTTAACCTCAGAATGATCTCAAGAGGTGCTAAAGTCTGATTTTGTGGTGACTATGCTTTAAAATGAATTTTTTATCATGTTAATTCAAGTGGATTTTTGAGGATTTTGACAGATTTGATTTTTTAATCAGTGCTGGGTACTACTGTAAGTTTTACCCTGCCTGGTTTAAATGTTTGAAAATGATTAACAGTTGAAAAAGATTACTAAATTAGAAATTTAGAAAGTAATCAAACGTAATCAGTTACATTACTTTAATAAAGTAATTGAAATAGTTACACTACTTTTTACATAGGGTAACTTGTAATCTGTAACCTATTACATTTCCAAAATAACCTTCCTTAATCAGCTTATGATATGTTTGATTTAATACTCATTTTTACACGAACACCATCTTTTCTAGTGTTTTTTTAGAAAGTAGACCAGAAAGTAGATCCAAAATCTGAAGCATTTTGATGCTTTTATTTATCTACTTTATTTTTGCAATGTGGAAGTTATTTTCTGTGAATGTGTGGGATTTCCGGTTCATTCGCTGCTATATGTAAATAACAGTGAATAAAGTGCAGAAAACGGTAAACGTGGTTGGGCTAAAAACCAGTGTTTAGGATTATGAGAATATATTAAAATAATATAAGAAATACCAGTTTGCTTAGTATCATTAACTGTCTATCGCTTATGGTGTCGCCAACGTATGGCGTTTCAAGCTCTTCGAAAAAGTGAATAATTTTGTGAAGAAATTGGTTCAGTTGATTCAAAGTTTTGCAGCAAAAGTTGAAGCTTTTACCTTAATGATAGGGTTCTTAGAACCCCGTTTCACACACGAGGCACAACCGCAAAAGTCGAATAAGTCTGTCTCATCGTGTGTTGTATTGAAAAACAATAGAAACTCTATACAGTTGATTGTAAAGGGCGACTGCATACAATGTAAAAATCTATAAGAGTATTATCCTCCTGAGACCCTGCATCCTCATATGAGGACATTATATTTGAGTGAATTTCTCTGAGACTATACATGCCACAGTTTGAAGTCTGGATGTCCTGTACAGTATCTCATCCAGAGATACTAAATGTTTGGATGTTTCACCATGACCACTCCCTTGCCTTGGTCTTCAAAAATGTCTGGTATTAATTTAGTGACACTCTTATGGAAATATGATAATATTTTGTAATTATCATTTAAATCTGACTAATTTTTAAACTGTGTCATAAATCAACATCTCAGGAAAATGTTATGAGGTTTCAAATCAAAATATGACTTTCTGTTATGAAACAGGACGTTGACAACAAATTAATAGGGAAAGAAAATATATTTCAATGTCAAAAACACAGGCAGGGTCGAACAACAGCAAACAGGTATGGCACAGGCAAGACAAGAGAAATCCTAAACGGGCTTGAGTCAGACGACAGCAAACATAATCCAGAGGGCTTGACAAGAGGGGTAATCCGTAAACATGAGCATAAGGCCAGGCGAGGAGCAAACACCATCCGAAACTGCAAGCAAAGGGTTAATTCAAGATGCGTGGCAAGAATCAGGAACCAGGAAAACAGTCAAGGCAAGACTATGACTTAGACTATGACCTAGACTAGGGCAGGCTCCGTAAAGTATCTATCAAAGTGATAACCGCTAAACAATACTCGGCATTGAATGGTGGTGTGAGACTGATTTACACTATATAGCGTGGGTTATTGGTAGCAGCTGTGTGTGATTGGTTTCAGGTGAGCTTGTGATTAGTACAATAGAGCATGGGAAATGTAGTCCAGGGTGATGTGTAACAGTCTGTGTAGTGTGAGAGTCCATGTGGAGAGCGGGTGACCTCTAGTGGTGAGAGAACGGAAGTTTATAGACCAGATTCGTAACAATAAGTAAGGACATTTGGTCCTCAGAAGTATAGTTAAGCCAGTACACACACACACACAGACATACAGAGATTGAATCTGTATTCAATTAAATGTATTCTGTATCCCAAAATGCATTGACTGCTTTAAAATATAAGACACCAATGTTTCAGGAGTTTAGGACACATAATAGGACACATGCTTATTCTATAACCATTTTATTTTCTATTTGGGTGTATGTATATGCTTTATTTTTTAAGATTTTACATTTTCCCTAAGGCATTGTGAGATGCCAATGTTTCCTGACATATTTGCTATGCAAAGATTTGATTTCAAAAACAGTATCATAGCTATTAAACTATATCTTGTTATGATTTGAAATCTGTATTTAACCTCAGAATGATCTCAAGAGGTGCTAAAGTCTGATTTTGTGGTGACTATGCTTTAAAATGAATTTTTTATCATGTTAATTCAAGTGGATTTTTGAGGATTTTGACAGATTTGATTTTTTAATCAGTGCTGGGTACTACTGTAAGTTTTACCCTGCCTGGTTTAAATGTTTGAAAATGATTAACAGTTGAAAAAGATTACTAAATTAGAAATTTAGAAAGTAATCAAACGTAATCAGTTACATTACTTTAATAAAGTAATTGAAATAGTTACACTACTTTTTACATAGGGTAACTTGTAATCTGTAACCTATTACATTTCCAAAATAACCTTCCTTAATCAGCTTATGATATGTTTGATTTAATACTCATTTTTACACGAACACCATCTTTTCTAGTGTTTTTTTAGAAAGTAGACCAGAAAGTAGATCCAAAATCTGAAGCATTTTGATGCTTTTATTTATCTACTTTATTTTTGCAATGTGGAAGTTATTTTCTGTGAATGTGTGGGATTTCCGGTTCATTCGCTGCTATATGTAAATAACAGTGAATAAAGTGCAGAAAACGGTAAACGTGGTTGGGCTAAAAACCAGTGTTTAGGATTATGAGAATATATTAAAATAATATAAGAAATACCAGTTTGCTTAGTATCATTAACTGTCTATCGCTTATGGTGTCGCCAACGTATGGCGTTTCAAGCTCTTCGAAAAAGTGAATAATTTTGTGAAGAAATTGGTTCAGTTGATTCAAAGTTTTGCAGCAAAAGTTGAAGCTTTTACCTTAATGATAGGGTTCTTAGAACCCCGTTTCACACACGAGGCACAAACGCAAAAGTCGAATAAGTCTGTCTCATCGTGTGTTGTATTGAAAAACAATAGAAACTCTATACAGTTGATTGTAAAGGGCGACTGCATACAATGTAAAAATCTATAAGAGTATTATCCTCCTGAGACCCTGCATCCTCATATGAGGACATTATATTTGAGTGAATTTCTCTGAGACTATACATGCCACAGTTTGAAGTCTGGATGTCCTGTACAGTATCTCATCCAGAGATACTAAATGTTTGGATGTTTCACCATGACCACTCCCTTGCCTTGGTCTTCAAAAATGTCTGGTATTAATTTAGTGACACTCTTATGGAAATATGATAATATTTTGTAATTATCATTTAAATCTGACTAATTTTTAAACTGTGTCATAAATCAACATCTCAGGAAAATGTTATGAGGTTTCAAATCAAAATATGACTTTCTGTTATGAAACAGGACGTTGACAACAAATTAATAGGGAAAGAAAATATATTTCAATATTCCTATGAAATATTATATATTATTATGAAAATCTTGTCAATTATTACTCCCATTATTACACTTCTTTTTTCATTACATGTTGCCCCAAAAACACATTAATATGCTAATTAGATTTAGTTTATAGATACACACACACACACACACACACACACATATATATATATATGTATATATATAATGAGAAAACCTGTTTATGGCCATTTTACACACATTTTGCATGAAGAAAATGGTATATCAAATCATTCTGTTATAACATAGTTGAGAATTATCTTTATACAAAGTTTGGTAAAAACTAAATGAAAACTAAAATGTATTGGTTATTTAAAAAAAATCTAATGTTTTTTTTGCTTATGCATGTTCAGTCATGTCTTTTTATTTTTTAAAGAAATTGAGTCCCGATGTCCTCTGCAAGGACATAGCATAACTTATGAATGAAATATCATTAAAAAATTTTTTTTAGTGCTCTAAACAATGTAATGACATGAAAAAATACAAATTGTTTCCTAAAATGTTTTGCCGAAACACAAATTTATAAAAATCTTATTACTGACGTCCTTTTACAGTCTATGGTCTCAATTACCCGGATGAGAACAGATAACTTACCATGTAGTCATGGACAACAGTAAATTTAAGGAAATATCTGATTGCTGCATGGCGCTATTGACCAATTAATCTAGTATTCCAGTGGACTGTGTGACAATAGTTTAAAAACCCATTGATGAATGAATCTTGCTGTACTGTTTGAGTTACAGGAATGCAGAGTTAGGCTAAGACATGAAGTCACATTTTGCTCATGTTGTAAATTTAAAGGTGCAATTAGTATTTTGACTTAAATTGAACTAATATCCTAATGCAAACCCACTTAAACTACACCTTTTTACCAGAACAAAACTATTTGGCACTAGTTTGTGTGTCTCATTTTGGTTAAGCAATTAAAGACTTCCTAATTTTAGAGAAGATTTCATATCCATACGGACAACACTGCTCTCACACACAAGTTACAAAGCCAAAATTGCTCTGTTGTTGCAAGAGGTTTCATTTCTGTTCAAGAGCACTAAAATGTGTAACTTTTGATACCCTTTAATTTACTACATTATTTCTTAAATTCTTTATTAATGTGGTAAATGCTTCTTTGAATTTTTTTGCATTCATTTAACCAAGCAGACAGAAGTGTGTGTGCTAAACTTCAAGTAAAACTAATTGAAACATTTGTGTAATTCTTGTATAATTATTATGCATGCAGATTTGTGACTTTAAATTTTGAATTCTGAAAAAAATGAAAAACTGAATTTTGATTACTCACAATTGTAGACTAGAGAGGGAGAGAGAGAGAGAGAGAGATCTACACAACCTATCCTCATGATGGCGCACAGGTGCAGTTTTCTATTGTTGCAGTTGAACTTTGTTCTAAATCTTAAAGGTCTATAATGTCTTCCAGCATTGCTGTTTCCCAATAGCTCTGTGTAAAGGCTGCAGAATTCCTTAAACAGCTTTTTAAACACCTTAAGGTCCAGTCTTCATCATGTTGATGGTCAGAGGAGTATGACAGCGAGGATCATTCTCTGCTTTCTGTCCTGTAGAGCTGCTGGCATTTCATGAAACCAGGTGAGTTCAAGCCTAATGCATTGAGAAAACAAAAGCTAGTCTTTTTTTTGACTGATTTGTTTGTGTAATATATTGCTTCATGGCTTAAACTCCTAGTTGCCTCGATAGGGTTAAAAATGTAGGGTAAATTCAAGTTTATGGTGTGTATCACATCATCAAAAGTCAAGTTTTGTTATTATTATTTACATTTATGCATTTAGCAGACACTTTTATCCAAAGCGACTTACAGTGTATTCAGGCTATACATTAAATTTTTTTTACCTGTATGATGTTCATGTGTGTTTAATACATTATTATAAGTGCTTATTACATTCATTTTATTTCATTTCCCCCCAGTGTTGTAGTGTACTGTATGTAGTGAAAGTGGACTAGTCCGTGTGGTTATATGGAGGGGTTTTGGGCTGTGTTTTTCCCTGTGCTGAGGGTCTGGTTCACCTGTTTGGTGGTCCTGATCATGCTGCCTGCCATGTTTGGGATCTCTCTTGGCATCACTGAGACCTACATGAAGATCCTTCTCAAAACCTTAGAGGTACGTAAGATGAGTGTTGTTATTGTTAAAAAAACAATTTGTTAATTGAAATAAAGCTTAAATAAAATGTAAATATTAGATGAAAAACTTCAACTAAATTAAAACTAGAGATAAAAATGAGTTGCATTAGCTAATAACTGAAATAAACTAAAAGCTGAAATGTAAATATTTAGAATTTTTTAATAATCAGAAAAACTAATAAAAATGTCCAAATCGGAACAAAATGACTAAAAATTAAACTAAACTAAAATATAAAAATAAAAGCTAATTAAAAATATGAAGAAAGACTATAAAGTATATAAATAACATGTACAGGCATAAAAATATAGGATATATTATGCCCATGACCTTTTTTTCATCAGATTTAATGTGCACAGTATTCCAAAGAAAACTTTTTTTCTTTCTCATAATCCTTAATCAAAATGCTGTAACTTCCTCCACAAACGAAACAACTTTCCTTTCTGTCACTGATGTCAATTAAGCTGTGCAGGATAATATTAACCAATAGTCACATAGCTATTTCTGTCACGGCGCGGTCAGGAATCACACCGTGTGAACGTGGGTTAGGGTCCAAATGCAGGCTTTATTTCACTGCTGGGGAAAACAAAGTAAAAACATAAACGTAAACAGAGCTGAGACTCTGAGACACAGGCAAGGAACAGAAGACTCTGACACCATACGGCCACGTAGGGCTGGCATCAGTCACCGAAACAAACATTACCAACATTAATCATCCGACCCCGAGTGGCGTGGGGAAGGCGCCTAAATAGTCCTCGTGACGGGCCACAGCTGTGTGAGAGTGAGTGTGTGCACAGGTGTGTGGAGTGCAGGTGATGGAGTCCCGGATGGGCGACAGCTGTGTGTGTGTGTGAGTGGGTGCCCAGGTGTGTGGTGTCAAGGTGACGGCGAAAGAGTCCGGGAGGATGGGAGATGGCGACCTCTGGTGGTGAGAGGGAGAACACCACCGCCAGCCCCTGACAATTTCACCTTTTAACACCCAATTTTCCTCCTTTCAGCTCCAAAAGGATCAAATCAAGTCATGCCCTAGATTTTTTCAATATAGTACTTAAATAGGTTACAAATCCATTCAATTCACTTTAACTTTCAGCTACGTACCATTTTTAATCGCTATATAGCTGCAAATAGTAGACCTGTAGTAATGCATTTGTAAAATCACAAACACTTAATGAGCTCATGAAACTGCATATATATTAATTATACATGACTTTGACAATGTTTTAATAATGTTTAAGAAGTACAGCATGACACACTCTAGAAGACTACTTGACATGCTACGTCTGCCAGGACACTAGGCTATTATTGCACACACTCACCACGGGGAAATTAAACAAAACTTTTTTTTTGACAAATGAACATTGTGGCATAATCAGATGATATACATTTCTCAAACTGAAATGCGCTGTATCATCACATTGTTAAGTGCCCTTTGGTCTTAATTGTGATTTATTATGCGAGTCTAATGCCTAGTGTCAGGAACAAATGGAATCATACAGTATATATTAAGCTTTGCCTGGTGTTTTTGCAGTGGGCAACACACAGAATCCAAAGGGCAAGTAGAGCAGAGGAGATCCTGAAACAGTCCGCGTCAAATGGTGAGTTTATACACATACAGTCACTGGATCTCCAGGTGTTTTAAAAACATGAAATGAAATAAAATAGAATTTATATTCCCCACAAATCGGAATTCTATTACCTTTTATTCATCCACATATCCCAAACACATAGTCTCTTATGTTCACCAAGGCTGCATTTATTTGATTAAAAATACAGTAAAAAACTTAAAAATTGTGAAATATTATTACAATTTAAAAGAACTGTTTTCTATTGCAATATGTTGTAAAAAGTAATTTATTCCTGTGATGCAAAGCTGAATTTTCAGCATCATTACTCCAGTCTTCAGTGTCACATGATCCTTCAGAAATCATTCTGATATGCTGATTTGCTGCTCAAGAAACATTTCTTATTTTTTTTCAGATTTTTTTGACGAATGGATTAATAGAAAAACATTTATTTAAAATAGAAATCTTTTATAACATTATAAATTACTTAACTGATACTGTTGACCAATTTAATGCGTCCTTGCTGAATAAAAGTACTAGTAAACCCCCCCCCCCCCAAACTTTTGAACGGTAGTGTATATCGTTTTTAGTTTCCATGCATCTCTAATCCAGTCCATAGTGACTTTCAATATCCAAAAAATACAAAAAAGCACCATGAAAGTGTTACGTATGACTTGTCCACAATATATGAAGTCCTCTAAAGTCATACAATAACTTTATGTGAGGAACAGCCTGAATTTCAAACCATCACTGACAATGTCAAACGTAGGTTGAAGGATCATTCTTTAAGATGAATGCAAATGAGATTACAGATCTTTAACATAGTAGAAGATTATCAGTGAATAATGTCTTAAACCTCAGTCTGTTCCTCACTGCATAAGGATTACTCAGGATTTCTGGTTTTGTGTTCAGTGGAAAAAAGAGCTGGTCTTTTCTATTTCGGTCCTAAGGTTCTCGTAAAAGTAAACTGCGTTTTTGCCTTTTAGTTTTGCTGCACAATGGCTGTTTCCCTCTAGATACGACACAAACGGTGCTCTGAGATCTCTTAGCTTATCTGTCTACTCAAGCAATCACAAATTACACAATGACTTCAGTTTCTCTTGCTCTCTCACATCTTCACAGTGGACTTTAGTCTGGCTTTATCACTGACACCCTGCATTAGATTTATAAATGCTCTTTATCAATACCTCACTGATCTTCACTGATTAATCAACATCTTAGCTGATGAAAACGTTACTGATTATATCTGGTTATAAAGTGTGATTATAAATCTTAAGATGGCACAGAATGGGCACTGTATTCTGTGCTTGCGTCATATTAAAGCAACAGTTCACCTAAAAATTAAAAGTCTGTCATCATTTACTAATGTTTCACATGATTTCTTTCCATAATGAAAGTGATTGGGCTTCTTCAAGCTCAAAATACACTACCATTCAAATACACTGCATTACTATTTATTTATTTTTTTTATTCAGCAAGGACACATTAAATTGATCAAAAGTGACATTAAAGACATTAACAATGTTACAAAAGAGTTCTATTTGAAATAAATTCTGTTCTTTTGAACTCTCTATATATCAAAGAATACTATAAAAAAGTTTGAATGATTTCTGAAGGATCATGTGACACTGAAGACTGGAGTAATGATGCTGAAAATTTAGCTTTGCATCACAGGAATTAATTACATTTCAAAATATATTCAAGTAGAAAACAGTTCTTTCAAATTGTAATGATTTGTCACAATATTACAGATTTTGCTGTATTTTTGATCAAATAAATGCAGCTTTGGTGAGCATTATAAATAATAATTAACCAGCACTTTTGTCTGTGTGACTCAGGTTTAATTCAGCGAGATAATTCATCTTTGGAGCAGGAGATCGAGGAGTTGCGTCGAAATAGGCCGAAGTCGGCCGAGCGTGGGGACTTCACTCTGAGCGACGTCATGTACTTCACCAGGAAAGGCATTGAGAGCATTGTGGAAGACGATGTCACGCAGAGATTCACGTCAGAGGAGCTGGTGTCCTGGAACCTCCTCACCCGAACCAACAACAACTTCCAGTACATCTCTCTCAGGCTCACTGTACTGTGGGGAGTTGGCGTTGTTGTGAGATACTGCATACTGCTTCCTCTACGGTAGAGTACTATTTCATAATACTTTATGCCTAATACCAGGCGCGGCTCATCTATATGGACCAAAATATTCATCCACAACATAAATGTGTTCAGCATTCTGCAACAAATATTTTAAGTCTATTTTAAGTCAAAAAAGTACGCAGTATATATTAAAATAAATAAACAAATATATTAAAATGAGACAATTTTGCAACGTAAATCTGTGGTGAAAAGGGGGACTGCAGCGCACTCTTATTGAAAGGCAGTTTTGAAACTGCCCCTATGGCAAGCCGTTTTGACTTTTATTCATTCTCAGGATATGAATTCTTGATATCAACAATTACATTTTTACTAGTTAAAATGTTAATTCTTGAGATCAGGAGATATTAGATTTCTACTAGTAACACTTGCTATTTTTGATATCAGCAATTTAATTGTTACTAGTGACAATGTTCATTTCTGATATTTGAAAATGTATTTCTGATATCAACAATTGGGAGGGTAATTTCTGATATCTAAAATGACTTTTGTTACTAGTAACAATCACATTCATGATATCAGAAATGAACATTGTCACTAGTAACAATTAAATAGTTGATATCAAGAAGAGACGTCTGTACTAGTAACCACGTGATTACTGATATCAAAAACAAAGGTTTTTACTAGTAAGAATTTTATTTCTGATATGTGAAATTGGAATTTCAACTTGTAAGAAATTAATTCTTGATATCAACAATTGATTTTGAATGGCAGCCTATGGTGACATTTAACTAGTGAAAATACAATTACAGATATCAAGAATTATAGTTTTTACTAGTTGAAATGTAATTCCTGATATCAAAAATTAGCATTTTAACTAGTGAAAATGTAATTGTTGATATCAAGAATTAACATTGTTACTAGTGGAAATGTAATTGCTGATATCAAAAATAGCAAGTGTTACTAGTATCAGAATCGGAATCAGAAGAGCTTTATTACCAAGTAATGTTTACACACACAAGGAATTTGACTTGACGACAGGATCTTCCAGTGTAGAAGAAAGTACAAACATAGTGCAGACATACATGATAGTGTAGACATACATAGGAATAACACAGTAGGGATGTAATATAAAACTAATATAATAATAAAAAAAGAAAAATTGAATAATGTACTATATACAGAAATAGAAGTATAGGAAAAAATGTAATTGTTTAGATAAATATACAGATATGTTTATTAGTGTGCAGATAGATATGTTATTTACAAAGTGTGCAGTTTAATATAAATATACTATGTTAGTTGTGATGGACGATGTATAATTATGAAAGATTAATTGTTAAGACTGAGTATAGCCTGTGGGAAAAAGCTGTTCTTGTGTCTGGCTGTTTTGGTGGTCAGTGCTCTGTAGCGCCGACCAGAAGGCAACAGTTCGAAGAGAGAGTGGGCTGGGTGTGAGGGGTCCAAGGTGATTTTTTTAGCCCTTTTCCTCACTCTGGAGATGTAAAGATCTTGGAGGCTGGGCAGAGGGGCACCAATCAAAAATAGCTGTTGTTACTAGTAGAAATCTAATTCCTGATATCAAGAATTAACATTTTAACTAGTAAAAATTTAATTGTTGATATCAAGAATTCATATCCTGAGACTGAATAAAAGTCAAAACGGCTTGCCATATGCCCCGCTTATTTTCACGTTACCTTACGTGAACTTTGCTCCACCAAGACGATATCTATCCGCTTCAGATATATGTCTGCAACAGGTCAGTAACTAGTTGGCATGTCTGTTTTTTTCTATGTGGAGTAGTGGATCAAATTAACAAAGTATAAATCCTTTAGTTTAAATGTGCTCACATGAATAGCCTTTATATGGTTATATTGTGTTTTTTTGTTTATTATTCTGAGAATAGATATATGATCGTCTTTCCTCAACCAAATTGCTCCACAACTTGTAACATTCTAAATCAACATTTGGAGGTGATAAATACTATATTAAGGCAATTATAATACAGCATTTTATGCATGTTCTCAGAGCAGGAGCCGCTACTGCCTAATACACTACTGTTCAAAAGTTTGGGGTCAGCAAGATTTTTACTTTTATTCAGCAAGAGTGCATTAAATTGATCAAAAGTGACAGTAAAGATCTTTAGAATGTTACAAAAGTTTTCTATTCCAAATAAATGCTGTTTTTTTTCCTATTCATTAAAGAATCCTGAAAAATGTATTGCGGTTTCCACAAAAATATTAAGCAGCACAACTGTTTTCAACATCGATGATAATAAGAAATATTTATTGAGCAGCAAATCAGCATATTAGAATGATTTCTGAAGGATCATGTGACACTGAAGACTGGAGTAATGATGCTGAAAATTCAGCTTTGCATCACTGGAATAAATTACATTTTAATATATATTCAAATAGAAAACAGTTATTATAAATTCTAATAATAATTAGCAAAATTACAGTTTTTACTGTATTTTTTATCAAATAAATGCAGCCTTGGTGAACATAGGAGACTCTTTTAAAAACATTTGAAAGGTACATTAGTATATTAGTGAGATTCAGTGCTTTGTTCTTGAAAAAGTAATTATTTGGATTCTAAAAATAAAAATGGTATAGTAATGTTTTTCACTGAAAATCATGCACCTGTCCTTCTGTTATTGTCATGTCTGTAGGATTACACTTACAGCTATAGGGCTGAGCTGGCTGGTGATTGGCACAACGATGGTGGGTTTCCTCCCCAATTTCAGGTAATGCTTTAGTGATGTTATCAGCTTTACAAATGCATGAATAATTCATGATTGCACAGCAATTCCAGTTGCTCTTTCTCCATACTTGAAGAGACCAGGACTGCTGAGCAGGAGCATATATTATTTTATGGACACTAGTGCTGGTTGGTCTACACTAGGCTTCCGAACCAAAGCATCTGGCCTGCCCATATGTCTAAACCAACAAGACCATCAATAATCGGCAATGACCATGCTACTTAATGAACTTTCACTCACTAATTTTTAACTGGTTAACATAATGAGCTGAGAAATAAGCTGAGAAGTGCATTTGTAACAAAGTTCGTAGTCACGGGAAGAAGGAGGCGGGAACCGGCGGGCATTTAAACAATTAAATTCTGGTTCCGGTTCCCAGACACACTGCCGCTTGGTCCTCAACCGGCTGAGAGGCTCTCACTCGCGGTGCCATGCGATGGTACTGGACATCGTTGGTGGACGGCCCACCACTCCTCCGCCTCCTGGCGGACGGCGATTGCTCCTCCTATTGAGGGCAGCCGGCAGCGAGTCCCCCATTCCCTGCGAGTCCCCAATCTTGGCGGATGGCAGCATGCTCCGGCCTCCTGGCGAACGGGGCCGACTCTTCCGCTCCCTCTCGGACGGCAGCCACCCCTCCTCGACCCAGGAGCGCGGCAGCGAGCTCTCCGTTCCACCTCGTCTTCCATCGTTCCAGCACCACCGCCTCGGGCAGCCACTGGTTCCCTGCTCCTCCCCAATCATGGCGGATGGCAGCAGGCTCCGGCCTCCTGGCGAACGGGCAGACTCCTCCGCTCCCTCACGGACGGCAGCCACCCCACCTCGACCCAGGAGCGCGGCAGCGAGCTCTCCGTCCCACCTCGTCTTCCATCGTTCCAGCACCACCGCCTCGGGCAGCCACCGGCGATCTCTCCGCTTGTTCCTGCTGCCCGAGCTCCTCAGCTCCGCGATCCCCCTCAGCAGCGAGAGCTCTCTGACAGCGTGTCCCTCCTTCCTCCCGGGTTTCGGCACCAATGTAACAACGTTCGTAGATCGGGAAGAAGGAGGCGGGAACCGGCGGACATTTAAACAATTTAATAAAATAAACAAACACAAAACGAAAGTAAAGCGGCAGCCCCTCGCGGACGACTGCCGCACACAAAACACAAAATAAAATCCAGGCCTGGTCCTCTCTCTTGTCTTTCACTGTCGTCACTCCTCCTTTTATCCTTCCGGAGCTCCTCCGTGGGGCTTGAGACTGGTGAGTGGTGCAGGCGTCGCTCATTATCAATTAGTCCACCGGCCTTGCTCCGTTCCCACGGCTCTCGCCCCCGCCCCCACTCGTCACAGCATTATTAAATCTGCATTGATATAAATGATTTACACACACACACAAAATCCCAGTTTTTCCAAATAGATATAATTTTAGGTATCATACAAACATGATGCCAGTTATGGCTAATTGCATGTTATCACAGTTTTATTTCTAGTAACAATTAAGTGTTTTTACATCAAAAGAGATGCTTTAGCAAAGAAAAGCCCTTTATTTTTATGTAAATGGGAAACATGAATGCAGAATGATGAAAAATGCACTTCAATCATTTTAACAATGGACATCTCATAATAATGTTCAATCCATTTATTGATTTGTTTAATCCTAATCATATTCATTACAGTCCTTTATTGTTTCAGAGTGAAGGGTTGGTTGAGTGAACTGGTCCACTTGATGTGCTACAGGATCTGTGCAAGAGGCCTTTCAGCTACGATTCACTACCACAACAAGTGAGTTCAAGGCTCCATTTAACAACAACAACCGGTCTAATCAAGTAACAATAATCTGGTTTAGACTTGTACAGACACTGTAGCTGAATTTCTACGCAGGAGGCTTACTAACAAACATCTGTGTTAAATGTGTAAATTGTGTGTTAAATTAGTCTAATTGTGCAATGCTAATTCTTTTTTCAGACAGAACAGGCCTAAGAGAGGAGGCATTTGTGTAGCTAATCACACTTCACCAATTGATGTCGTTATTCTGGCTAATGACGGCTGTTATGCAATGGTGAGTGAGACCAAAATAACACTTCAGTGCAGTAGTTCTCAAATCTTGGTATTTGCACTTCCATACAGGTTTGTAAGGTTAGTACGCACCTTTATCTTTGTTACATACATAGTTTCGTTATGTAATGTAGGCCGCAGTTTAATATCATTTCATGCACGGATGATTTCTGCAACGCTATAGTGTGGTTTATTGTGGTTTACAGTCTGTTTCCTTAAGGCTGTCCTGGCCACACTTTAGTTTAAGGTCCAGTTCTCACTATTAACTATGACTTTTGCCTCTTATTTGCAGCTTATTAGTAGTTAGTAAGGTAATTGTAAAGTTTAGGTATGGCGGTAAGATTAAGGGATCTAAAATATGGTTATGCAGAATAAGGCTGTAATTTGTGCTTTATACAGTAAGTACTAACAAACAGCCAATATGCCAGTAATATGCATGATAATAAACAACTAGATATAGTGAGAATTGTTCCTAAAAATAAAGTGTTGCTGCCATCCTGCAATTGTAAAGCATGTAAGTTTAGTCGAAGGCTATTTCGATAGCACCCCAAGCAGCTATTTTACCATCATGTCAGTACAGCTTGACAGTCTACTTGAATGAGAATTTCCAAAAATATTTGCCATTTCAATAACATATTTTAAGTAGCCAATTAAAACTTAGCCAGTATACATGGTAGGTTTAACTCTGTTCAGTTTGTAATGCAAGACATTTTTTTAAATATTAGTTTTTTGCCTGAATATCATCTGTTTGCCATTCATCAACACTATATTTGAATCTAGAATAAATAAGAATATATCAAGTTTTCAGTATGTTATTTATAATTTTTTTTAGAAAATCCAGAATTGATCCCTCATTTTCAATTTCAGTACTAATCAAGTGTAAGTGTAATCAAAATTAAATCTAAAGATTAATATTAAAAATATTATATTTGTATAGGCTTAGGAAGATATTAAAATAACGTTTAAAATTTCATTTAAATTTTTGCCAGAATTTCATCCAGTTGCCATTCATTGCCGTTAGATTTTATTCTAGAATAAAAGAGAAAATTCATTAAAATATCAAGGTTTTATTATGTACGTTTTTTTTTTAAGAAATCCAGAATTTATCCATCACTTTCAATTCATTTCAGTACTCTTCTGCCTGTAAAATGAATCTAGATAAAATCTAAAGATTCATATAAAAATATTAAATTTTTAGTTTTAGAGAAATGTTAAGATAATGTTTAAAATACTTTTTTTTGTCTAAATATAATCCATTTGTGCCTCATCACCACTACATTTTAATCTAGAATACTAAAGAAAATGAATTAAAATATCAAGTGTTCATTATGTCGTTTTTTCCCCAAGGAAATCCAGAATTTATCCCTCATGTCCTATTAATTTCTGTAGTACTCTGCCTGTAAATTTAACCTATATTTATTTATTTATGTTGTGATTTGTTCAATTGATCAATTTTTCCATCTCTTCCTCATACCGTCTTTCATCATAACATGCTGGTCTGTACATCTTTCTTGTTTTCTCATCCTCCCCAGGTTAAGAGATCACGTAAATAACAAAACAAAGCTGCCAATACTCATCTTCCCTGAGGGTGAGTGCATAATAACAGTGAGAAACACACCGAGATACAGTTTCAGTCGTATTTCAGGTCCTGCTTTACAGCGTTGTTCTTAAAGCTTAATGGTTGAAGTTTAATACTTGCACCTGGTTGCCCCTGCAGGAACTTGCATCAATAATACATCAGTAATGATGTTTAAAAAGGGAAGTTTTGAAATCGGAGGAACTATATACCCCGTGGCTATAAAGGTAATATATCAGTACTTGTCTTTTATGCACATAACCTATTATAAAGTAAAGTGTAAGGTGACAGAGTGATTTTCACAATTCTCGTTGACTTGAAAAATGCAATGTACTGTAGTAACTTGCAATGTGAATGATGATAATGTTTCTCTGTTGCACTGCATTTATTTGATCAAAAATACAGTAAAAATACAGTAGTAATATTTTGAAAGATTATTTCCATTTAAAATATTAGATTTGAATTTAATATATTTTATAATGTAATTTATTCAATGATCCTTCACTCATCATTCTAATATGCTGATTTTCTCTAATTGGTGCTCAGTTATTAATAATGGTTACTCGTTGATTATCAATTATCATCAGTGTTGATGCTAAATATTTTTCTGGAAACCATTTTTCAAGATTTGTTGATGAATAGAAAGATAATTGAACAGCACTTATTTTAAATATCTTTTTTTTGTAACAATATAAGTGTCTTTACTCTCACTTTTAATCAATTCATTGCATCCTTGCTGAATAAAATTATAAATTACTTAAATAAATAAATTACCCAAAACTTTTGAATGGTAGTGTATTGTAGTTTCTACAAAATAGTTTTCAGCATTGATTAAATTAAGAAATCTTTCTTGAGCAGCAAATCGACATATTATACTGATTTCTGAAGGATCATGTGACACTGAAGACTGGAGTAATGATGCTGAAAATTCACCGTTGCATCACAGGAATAAATTACATCTTAAAATATATTCAAATAGAAAACAAATATTTTGAAATTCTAATAATATTTCACAATATTACAGTTTTTACTATATTTTTGATCAAATAAATGCAGCTTTGGTGAGCATAAGAGACTTAAAAATTAAAAAAACATTTTAAAAAATCTGAATTTCTCCAAACCTTTGGCCAATAGTGTGTGTGTGTGTGTGATATTACACTATATTTTAATTGTAATATATCCTTTAAATTATTTTCGACATATAATTATTCTAAAAATATTTCCTGTAGCAACTGCTTAAATTGATAATTAATAAAAATAAATAAAATTAAAACAATAATTATCATTAAATAACATACAATTGAAAATAAATCAGTAATATACAGAGTACTGTGTTTTGGTCCCATGTTACAATGATCTTCATAGTGTGTGTGTGTTACTGACCTACTATGACCCTCATGCAGTGTCTGTGTGTGTGTTATATATAGTATGACCCTCAGTTTGGAGATGCTTTCTGGAACAGCAGTAAATATAGCATGGTGAGCTATCTGCTGCGGATGATGACGAGCTGGGCCATAGTCTGCAACGTCTGGTATCTGCCTCCAATGACGCAGAAGGTGAGAGCTCAAGCTGTAAAGTGTAAAATAGCTTTAGCTTTTTGTAGCACGATGTTGATGTGATTGATTACACCCTCACTGGCTCATTTCCTGTGTGCACAGGAAGGAGAGGATGCTGTGCAGTTTGCCAACAGGGTGAAATCAACCATTGCACAACAAGGAGGTTTAGTGGACTTGGCCTGGTGTGTAAATGGGTTTGTCTTCAGCTGTCTTGCTACAGTGATTGAATTTAAGTTAAAGGTTTATTACTTTGTATGTCTCACAGGGATGGAGGTCTGAAGAGGGCAAAGGTGAAGGATTCGTTTAAGGAGCAACAGCAGAAGAAGTACAGCCACATGGTGGTGGGTGACGACAGCAGTGACTGAACACAAACTCCAATGATCACAGATCTTCTCCTTCACCAGTCACTGGAAATACGGCGAGTTGTTGACAAAAGTACAGGAGGGTCTACTCATACCACTGCTGCTAAAATACGGTTTAAAGATATTTATAAATGGAGCATAGATATAAATAAATATGCATTGCAAATGCTATAGATCCCAGTTTCTTATGAGCTGCACTGCTTTTCTGTGAAGAGTTTTATTTGCCGGAATATTAATTGGGTGAAAAGGCTTTTGCGATTTATTTGAGAGTCCATTTTTAAAATTTAAAATGTTTAAAAAGGACAAAATTATAAATGCATGATTGGGGTTAATGTTGAGTTTGGTCTATGATAATTTATTTCTCAGAGCAAATAAACTTTTGTGCTTTTTAAACATTTGTTTCTTGTCACATACGTATGTCTAGTATTGTGATTAGTTCCTGACAAAATACACTTAATTTATTAAACTCAAGGTTGCCACAGCCATGAAAACCTGGAAATATGGGATCAATTCAGATTTTTGGGGGGAAAAAGTGAAATCTTAAAAATAAATTTCTATTGTCATTATTTTTTTCTAGTTTCTGTTTTTTTCTAACTTCTGAAATGAGGCAGTGTTGGTTAAAGGGGTCATATGATGCTGCTAAAAATAACATTATTTTGTGTATTTGGTGTAATGCAATGTGTTTATGCGGTTTAAGGTTCAACACATTATTTTCCACATACTGTACATTATTGTTTCTCCTCTATGCCTCGCCTTTCTGAAACACATCGATTTTTACAAAGCTCATCGGTCTGAAAAAGCGAGGTGTGCTGTGATTGGCCAGCTATCCAGTGCGTTGTGATTGGCCGAATACCTCAAGCGTGTGACGGAAATGTTACGCCCCTCACCATACTGTTGATACCGTGTCCCGGCCGGAATGATGATTCAAAAACATGAAAACCCATTATAAACGAGGCATTCGTTGCATCCAGTGGGGACATAATTATGGATTATAATAACGTATACTGTCTTTTTACGCGTTGCGTTGCATCGTGGCGCGTAAACATAAAACCATGTCTGCATTTGTGATCAGAGAAATGACAAACAACAAGCCCTACTCTACACTGCCCAAAAAACTCACTTTAAATATATAAAATATAAAAACTCTTTAAATATAAAAAACTTACTTACAGTCTGTGAGTCAGAACAGCCGGCGTTGTAGTCTACTCTACCAGGATCAGGAAACAGTCCTCCATAAAATGCGCTGCACACATCTGAATATTTGGGTTGAAGTGTTCTGGAACAGTGTTGTAAATACAACTTAACCACTGATTTCTAGTCGTGTACATTTTTGGAAGGCCAAACAAAGTAGTCACACAGCGTCACACACGGCAGCCTTGAGTGAGCGGAGGCCGGGTGCTTGCGTGAGGATCTTTATGCACCAAGAGCTTGTAACACTTCAAAGAGAAAGGAAAAATTTAAATCACATCATATGACCCCTTTAATACAATAAAAATATCCCAGTAGGTAATGCAGATTTCAGTTTTATCATTAATTGTCAAAAAAATTATTATTAAATATAGTAATATATATATATATATATATATATATATATATATATATAAAAAAAAACATACCACAAATAAACAATGTTGAGGAATAAAACTATATGTATTTTTAAATGTATGCTCATAAATTATTTACCTAAAAGTTGTTCATTGTGATAGCAGTATGCAAAATTGTATGCAAAATTTTTTGGGAGAATTTATGGAAATGCCTCTCAAAGGGTATGGGAACCCTGTAAAATGTTAGTATGTTTTAACTACTTTTGTTTTTTCACTTGAGACCAGGTCTGTCACATCTGTGTATACTGATTACAAGCATTTGATCTTTTATTTGATCTTAGCTGTTCAGAGCAGGCTAAACATTGAAGCTACAGCATGTTCACTTTACATTTTTATTATCTTCACATCTGTGTTAGAGGTGTTGCTGTCTAGCTGTGTTTTACAACACACTAAACTGAAGCAGTTGCTCGTATTTTCACACTTTGTGTGAAAAGTCAAAAATGCAAAAGGCACTATGGGTAAAATTGTGTGCTGATCTGAAACAAGCACCATATTTCAGTATACAGACTGTGGTCTACACTGAATCTGTTAGTGCTGTTGCACAGAGATTGAGAAAACACTAATTTATTATTGCTTTGAATTAGCCAATATAGATCCAGACTTTTTTCCATACATAATATTTATTATTATGTTATAGACAGAGTGTTGGTTAATGCAATTGAAAATATCCCAGTAGGTCATGCAAATAAATAGATGGAAAAAACATATTTGAACTAAATAAGGTTAAGGAATAAAAATAATACTGCTAATACAAAATATGGCATTTTTCAATAAATTCAATCTACTGAAATGATTATGACTGGCAAGTGTTTATCAGTGAGATAATTCTGAATATGTTTATGTATGATAAGCAATGTTATAACACAATGCACGAGGAGGAGTTTTTGGATTCTTTGCATCCATTGTCTTCAGCATCTCTTTTTGGATCAGGAACTGCACACACACAAACATTACACACATCTGATCAATCAATGTAGGATTTTTTATTTATTTGAATCTCAATATGTTTTGGACAGCTTACCTTGTCTGGAACCACCAGCTTGCCCCTTCCTTAGACCACTGACGTGCGCTTGGTCATTATTTGCATTCTGAATGAAGAAGACATGGTCATTATAATGTCTCAAATAATTTGCAATACCTATTTTTTTAAAATTTGATCAGAATAGTACATCCAAAAATGAAAATATCATCATTTATTCTTCCTAAGCGCTCCAAAAATGAAAAAAATTTAATAAAAGTTACCCAAACCACTTAACTTGACAGTCTCACTTCATTTCTACTTTCATTCAATTCAAATAAAAACAACTTCATTTTTCTGTGTGAACTGTTCCTTTAATGTATGCAACATACCATCAAAGACTTTTCAAGCATCAATCTTTTCTCCTCTGGAAGGGTTCTGTAATACCTGCAATGGATACTCAAACTATAGACAGATATCAACCAGTCTGCCATATATTTAATAATTTATGCATTTAGCAGACGCTTTTATCCAAAGTGACTTACAGTGCATTCAGGCTATACATTTTTTACCAGTATGTGCGTTCCCTGGGAATCGAACCCACGACCTTTTGTGCTGCTAACACAAAGCTCTACCACTGAGCCAGAGGACGCAAAAGCTAGTTCTGTTTAATGTATTAGAAATGTGTATATATGCTTAACTCACCTCTTCAGATAGGAATCTTGATTCCCTTCTGTCTCTGTAGCATGAGAGGAACCAGACATCTCTCCATCTAACAACACAATGCACTAAAACATGCACAATCTTTAAGTTCTTCTATCCACAACACAACCAACAGAGCACAAGCAGGCCCTGAGCTAATATATGTGTTGTTAAAATGTCTCAAACAGCCCTGCTGGCCCTAGTCATATAGTGCCAGTGGAGGTTTCTGTTGTTGTTTCCGTAGCAACAGGGCCCCATATACCAGTTTGAACAGTTTGAATATCCACAAAGAGGTGTGTCATATAAAGAGGTGCAGGAGCAGACCATTTCACACCCGGCCAAACTTTTGGGTGTAACATTGTTTTCAGTTTCAATGTTAGGTCGGACACCTGGTCAAAGCAATATTTCTCATTTTCATTTAGTGTAACAAGTCAATAAGTAAAACTGAAATAACAAATAAAAAAATATACGTAGACGTATTTAAAAAAAATAAAAACAATAACTAATAAATATGACAAAAACACAACAAAACTGCTAAATATAAAAAAACTAAGAGTATTTCAATGATACTAAAATAAGCAGACCAACCAATCGATCGATAGATATTAATTAGTTTAATTTAATTTAACTTAGTTAATAACTAAATCTGTAATAAAAATGAGTTTTTAAAAAAAAACTATAGACGTATTTAAAAAAACATAAATGACAAAACTCAACAAAACTGCTAACTTTAATTCAAAATCTCAAAAAAATCTCAATGTTACTAAAATAAAAGATAGATAGACAGATAGATAGTATTCCTTCACGGTCACTATAATTTCATATATGTGAAGTTGTGTATCATACTTTAATGACATTACAATCAATTTAAATGTGAAGTAAAAGAAAGTGAAATATTTAACTAAATTAGTACCGCATAGCCTCCAACCGGAAGCCTTCTCGCACTGAGCGGAAGCGCAGCGGCTCCAGCTGTTATTGTTGACAGACGGAGCTTCGGGGGGAAAATGGCGGTGTCCCGTCGATCCTCACAGCACCAACAAAGCAGCTTGCAGCCGTCTCCGCGGAACGCTGTGATCGCATCCCCCCCACCCGAATCGCCGTCCGCGATTATTCCCGAATCGACGAGTTTATTGAGCCCCTCGGCCACTGGCGCAGCGGAATGCGGCGGAGCGACGATGGAGTCCGCAGCGGCCTCCTCCTCCTCCGCCTCCGCCTCTTCCCCAGACCGGCCCGCCTCAGCAGCAACAGCGGCCGCCGCAGCCTCGTCAGCCCTCGGCAGCTCCAGCTGCAGCAGCATTAGCTCCAGCGCGACCGCAGGCAGCCAGAGCCCCGACTCAGGAGCGGACAGTCCCGGGGACGGAGTGTGCGGGGCCGGCGGCGCGTTCAGAGAGCTATTCGAGGCCTGTCGGAACGGAGATGTGTCGCGGGTGAAGAGGCTGGTAGACTCGGTGAATGTGAACGCCAAAGACATGGCCGGACGAAAATCAACCCCTCTGCATTTCGCTGCAGGTCTGTATTTATGTATTTGCTAAATATAATGCGCGTCTGTGAGCATTTTGCTTTGTTTTTGACCTTATAAAAGAACAAAACGTAACCTTTGTGGATTTTGGTTCCACTAGATTTGGAGTTTATTTGTACAAGCAGGAGAGTTTTCAATTGAAGTAACGTTATACATATGTTTTTATGTATAGAGTGTGTTGTTTTCATAAAAAAATTATGTATTGTAAGTTGACTGTTCACAGTGGTTATGTGTCATGGCATAATAATAATAAATATAAGTTTTATTTATATAGCGCCTTTCCAGGGCTCAAGGACGCTTTTGTTGTAATATTACATCGTGTCATTTGATTCATGAGTAAAATATGATATTTCTTGCGAAACTGACACCTAATTGTACAGTACTACATTTCCCTATAACATCTATACAAACTGTTTAAATTTCATGAATTATTTCTAGTGTAAGGCGAAAATTGTCTTGCGGTTTAAAATGAACATTGTGGACAGGAAAACTAATCAAATATTTAGGTATTATCTAATTAGGGTGTTTTTCAAACCTTAAAAATCGAAGTCTGTGCATTTTGTGAGTCATATGAACTGACTAAATTCATTTCTAATTGGATGTCCTGAAAACTTGCTAACCAGGAGTCCAAAGAAAATTAAATAAAGCCGTTTATAAGCTTAAAAAGTTAAGATATTACATTTTGTCTCCTGTTGTTAATTACATGGACATCATTCCAAATAAACATTAGCCATCAATGCTCAGTCCTACAGTGTGGAATCTCTGCATAATGAGAGATTTTCAGCATTAGTAAGCATAAGCATGCAGTTTTCATGATCTCATAATGATTTGGGAGACTATATGGATTTATTTGCACTTAAAATGTATCTGTCACATTGCAGGGCCTTTTAAATGATCTGCATAATGGCGGCTAGGTATTAAAGCTGATTAAAAAAAATCGTAAAGCAGTAGGTCACTCAGAATGATGTGTTTTGTAAGTATTGTTAACGTATCTTGTTTTGTGTTTAATGAAGAAAGAAAGTCAACCGGTTTGTAATGTCTAAAAAAATAGCAGTTTTTTGGTACAGAAAAGAGCTGAGATGGTTGCAGCATTAAAAAAAAACACGCATAAATAAATAATTTTTAACCTAGACTCATTAAGTGTAATAAGATCTCATATGTCATTTTTTAAAATTAATTTCATCATATTAGATTCATTGCATTTTAACCCATTTGTCCTATGTAATGTTTGTCAGGCTTTGGCAGAAAGGACGTGGTGGAGCATCTCCTGCAGACCGGAGCAAACGTCCATTCCCGTGACGATGGCGGTCTGATCCCGCTTCATAACGCCTGCTCGTTCGGGCACGCGGAGGTGGTCAGTCTGCTGCTGTGTAGCGGCGCTGACCCCAACGCACGAGACAACTGGAACTACACACCTCTGCACGAGGCCGCCATCAAGGGCAAAATAGACGTGTGCATTGGTATGGATTAAATTGAGAAATTTTATAATTTCATCTGTTTCCAATTGTAGTCCAATCAGACCAGTTCTGATCATTAAAACAGCTCTAAGACAAATTCTGATGGTCTCTGATATATCGTTCATCCCTAGCAGTAGGGGTGTGCCATATCATACCGTCCACGATAATACCGGTATAAATTTTTACATGATAAAAAAGTGTCATATCGCGATATCAATGATGTAGCAACGCAATGACGTGTGGCGCGTTTACGTTCCTTGGCGCGCACAACAACAACACCACAGACCCAAATAGGTGTGTTTAACTTGAAGCAGCGCTGCGCAGACTGATCGGTGTAATGTTTGTCAGGCTTTGGCAGAAAGGACGTGGTGGAGCATCTCCTGCAGACCGGAGCAAACGTCCATTCCCGTGACGATGGCGGTCTGATCCCGCTTCATAACGCCTGCTCGTTCGGGCACGCGGAGGTGGTCAGTCTGCTGCTGTGTAGCGGCGCTGACCCCAACGCACGAGACAACTGGAACTACACACCTCTGCACGAGGCCGCCATCAAGGGCAAAATAGACGTGTGCATTGGTATGGATTAAATTGAGAAATTTTATAATTTCATCTGTTTCCAATTGTAGTCCAATCAGACCAGTTCTGATCATTAAAACAGCTCTAAGACAAATTCTGATGGTCTCTGATATATCGTTCATCCCTAGCAGTAGGGGTGTGCCATATCATACCGTCCACGATAATACCGGTATAAATTTTTACATGATAAAAAAGTGTCATATCGCGATATCAATGATGTAGCAACGCAATGACGTGTGGCGCGTTTACGTTCCTTGGCGCGCACAACAACAACACCACAGACCCAAATAGGTGTGTTTAACTTGAAGCAGCGCTGCGCAGACTGATCGGTGTATGACATCAAAGTATCGTGAGAGCGGTTCTAGAGCATATTCGAGGGCACATGCTTATCTTCAAAAATAGTCGAGGCACCTATCTTTAGCGAAGTGGCGTGGAGAGTGTAAACACAAGCATTGACTAGAGTGGCCGCGTCAGAGCCGTAACGCGTGCATTGTTAATAAGGGGTAAGTCACTCTCGCGGTATTTTGACGTCATACACCGATCGGTCTGCTTCAAGTCGAACACACAACTTATGACAATAGATTTACACTTTGAATTAGGTAGTCTGTCATCGATGACAGTAGCTCATTGGAAAAGGATGAAAAATGCCCTTCATTTTGTTTGCACTGATAAATGCTGCAGCCTCGCAGCTGCAATCACCAATAAAACATTGTTCCATATTTTTTTCTATATCATCATAAATATCATAATCGCAAATATTCTTGAAATATCGTGATATAATTTAGAGGCTATATCGCCCACCCCTACCTAGCAGAAAGGCAATGAATTCGGTCTAATGAGTCCCAGTCAACATTGTGTGGAGTTGCAGCAGTTGTCTAGAGAGCTGATGTGGTGGTCCAGCATGCTGCAGTATTGCTGTGTTGTGATAGTAATGTTGTTGTCCTGCAGTATTTGTCATCGAGCGCTGCTGAGATGGCACTCTGTGTGTGAGTGAGAAAACTGACAGAATCTCTGATGTTTGCATTATTAACATGATGAATAGGTTTGTCTGAGTACGGTGTGTTACTTTGTTTAAAACTATTTCTTCAGAGTTATTTGGCGAGTGTGGAGAGTGACTGTTAGGGATGTGCAATATATTGGTGATATCATTATTGGTCAATATTATTATTTTTTTTATGGCATTGTACTGATTAGTCTGATATTGGAAACCAATTTGATCAGAATTCTTTAAAAATATGTATTTGTATTTTTATATAAACCAGGAGCCCAAAAAACAAGTAAATAAGATCTTTATAAGCTTAAAAGTGTAAGTTGATATGTTTTAGCTCCTGCTATTAATTAAACAGATGTTGTTCCACATAAACATTGCCCATGTTCAGTCCGATGGTGTGACACCTCCACATAACAAGAGGTTTTCAGCATTAGTAATCATAAGCATGCAGTTTTCATGATCTCATATTAATTGAAAGACTGTATGGATTATTCACACTTAAAAATGTGTCATGCTGCAGGACCATTTTAATTAGATAACTAATGACAGCTTTTTGTGGCTATCATAAACATTACATTTTGTTTAATAAAGAAAGAATTTCAACCCGGTTTAAAAATGTTTGGAAAATGTCTTGAAAATTGTAATTGTGTAAAAAATTTTCTTTAGAGATATTTGGCGAGTGACTGTTAGGGATGTGCAATATATTGGTGAAAATATCAATATGATTCAATATTGTCATTTTGGACTGATTAGTTTGATAATATGCTGATGCTGGAAAAAAATAAAAATAGGAACACTTTATAATATAGTTAGGTCATAGGTTATAATAGGTATATGATAACATTAGTTAACTACACTAGTAAACATGAATGAATAATATATACAGCATTTGTTCATCTTAGTTAATTTGTTAATTTCAACATTTAAAATTAAACTTATCTGTTAACATTGGTTAATGCACTATATAAACGCTATATAAACAGTTATCCATCTTTTCTGCTGTGCATGTGTTTCAATGGCTGACTGTACTAAAACTGCAGAGCTAGTATGAACACTTTAGGTGGAAAAAGAGTGTTGATAATTATACTTATCAACCACAACATAAAACATTGTCAGTTTCAGTATCGGTGACTGTATTGCTTGGTTCTGTTTCTTACAGTGTTGCTCCAGCACGGCGCTGATCCGAATATCCGAAACACTGACGGCAAATCAGCTCTGGACCTGGCAGACCCTTCTGCTAAGACCGTCCTCACCGGTGAGACATACACATACACACATCTGCTTTACAGTCATTAACAACACACACAGTCTCATGAGCACTGAGTATGTTTTTGTAGTATGCAGTATGCCAATATAGCAAGAGCATGCTGTGCGAGTGCTGTTTACCACAATGCACTGCTCTCCAGTTTGAAAAATGAACCGTTGGCCATTTACAGCCACGTTTCCACAGTTTATTAATTGGTCGGACAGATACATGTTTAAACATATGCACACAAATTTGGATTGAAATGCCAACTCGATGCCACTCACCAAATGAAATGTGAGGTTAATGTAACAGCCTTCTGTTTGAAACGCTGCATCCTGCGTTTCATTTCACATACTAATTAAACAATGTATGTACACTGCATGTAGTATGCTAGTATTGCAATTTGACCATTGTAACGCTAAAAACATCCACATACCCACATTAATGAATCTTGCAAATCAAGTCTGTCTGACACCTGCTGTCTGATTTTATTTATCAGGTGAATATAAGAAGGATGAACTGTTGGAGGCAGCGAGGTGAGTTTTTGGTGCAATATAATAATTTAATATCAATGTATTACTAAGATAAACACCGAAGTAACTTTGAGGGGGGGGGGGTATGGATGGTTGTTTGAATCCCTCAGCCTCTTGTTTTTTATGTTTTAGTCCTTTGAGAAGAATGTTGGGATGAATGTGCCGAGCTGTAGGTGCTACACACTACCTGGCACAGTTGTAGGTTCATGTTTAGAAAACTCTGATGTCGGAACGGAAATCCAAGAATATCAGAATGAGACATTTTTGCCGCATGGTATATAAATGTTTATTGGACAGGATAAGTATTTTATAAAGTAAATGTAAGAATAACTTTTATACTGTTAGTAGTATTTCTAGATGAACACTTACTGGACTGAACCAACTTAGGTTTACTTGATTATCCATTCAGCAATTCTTTGGAAAAATCATGTTAAAATGTGAGTATCAGTTATGATCAATAGACTTTTGAGGAATTTGTTCATTTTTCAGTCTTCATTGTATTGCATCGCATTACATGTTTTGCCCCACAATAAAATTACTGAGTTTGTTGCATAAAACTAAGCATTTAAATATCATCTTACAATGACATATTATTGGGAGATACAGTGTGATGACTGACATTTATATGCAATTTATGTAAGCTATTTGCTATATTATGTTATGAAGATCTCATTGATTTACATTGCAAGCTATCAGAATTTCATCTTGCTTTTTGATCATATAAATATCTGCAGCTGCACCAAATTACATATTTTTGATAAGTATGCACCTCTGAATAAAATTTACATCTGAGTAACAGTGTAGTCCAATATAGTTGCCACTGCTGCACCATCCTTTAATAGCTGCTCACAAAGCAGTCCCATTTATGGCTGCTAGCAATAAATAGAGGTTTCAATAAATAGTCTAAAGGAAGGTTTTACATCGAACCTTACATTAAGTTTACATGGTAAGTTTCTTATATGTTAAAAGCTATTGCTATTTTTTTTAAAGTACATTGGAATCTTTTTTGACTGTCACTGATCCAGAAATGTATTTTCTCTAAGTTGCTGTTCCTAACAGTGTTTGTCTCCCTCTGTTTGGAAAACCTTGTTAGGAGCGGAAATGAGGAAAAGTTGATGGCACTTTTGACCCCACTTAGGTGCTACACACTACCTGGCACAGTTGTAGGTTCATGTTTAGAAAACTCTGATGTCGGAACGGAAATCCAAGAATATCAGAATGAGACATTTTTGCCGCATGGTATATAAATGTTTATTGGACAGGATAAGTATTTTATAAAGTAAATGTAAGAATAACTTTTATACTGTTAGTAGTATTTCTAGATGAACACTTACTGGACTGAACCAACTTAGGTTTACTTGATTATCCATTCAGCAATTCTTTGGAAAAATCATGTTAAAATGTGAGTATCAGTTATGATCAATAGACTTTTGAGGAATTTGTTCATTTTTCAGTCTTCATTGTATTGCATCGCATTACATGTTTTGCCCCACAATAAAATTACTGAGTTTGTTGCATAAAACTAAGCATTTAAATATCATCTTACAATGACATATTATTGGGAGATACAGTGTGATGACTGACATTTATATGCAATTTATGTAAGCTATTTGCTATATTATGTTATGAAGATCTCATTGATTTACATTGCAAGCTATCAGAATTTCATCTTGCTTTTTGATCATATAAATATCTGCAGCTGCACCAAATTACATATTTTTGATAAGTATGCACCTCTGAATAAAATTTACATCTGAGTAACAGTGTAGTCCAATATAGTTGCCACTGCTGCACCATCCTTTAATAGCTGCTCACAAAGCAGTCCCATTTATGGCTGCTAGCAATAAATAGAGGTTTCAATAAATAGTCTAAAGGAAGGTTTTACATCGAACCTTACATTAAGTTTACATGGTAAGTTTCTTATATGTTAAAAGCTATTGCTATTTTTTTTAAAGTACATTGGAATCTTTTTTGACTGTCACTGATCCAGAAATGTATTTTCTCTAAGTTGCTGTTCCTAACAGTGTTTGTCTCCCTCTGTTTGGAAAACCTTGTTAGGAGCGGAAATGAGGAAAAGTTGATGGCACTTTTGACCCCACTTAATGTCAACTGTCATGCCAGCGATGGACGCAAGGTAACACAGATCGGAATTAACATTTGATATATCTGATAAGATGTGAATTTTAGAAAATATGTCTGTTGTTTCTAAACTCAAGCTCTATTCAAACTGTGATTTTTCATTGGTTGTATAAATGGCATAGATGTAGGTCAAGACAATCCCAAATTCCCTTTTCTAAAGGAAGGTTTTACATCGAACCTTACATTAAGTTTACATGGTAAGTTTCTTATATTTTAAAAGCTATTGCTATTTTTTTAAAAGTACATTGGAATCTTTTTTGACTGTCACTGATCTAGAAATGTATTTTCTCTAAGTTGCTGTTCCTAACAGTGTTTGTCTCCCTCTGTTTGGAAAACCTTGTTAGGAGCGGAAATGAGGAAAAGTTGATGGCACTTTTGACCCCACTTAATGTCAACTGTCATGCCAGCGATGGACGCAAGGTAACACAGATCAGAATTAACATTTGATATATCTGATATGATGTGAATTTTAGAAAATATGTCTGTTGTTTCTAAACTCAAGCTCTATTCAAACTGTGATTTTTCATTGGTTGTATAAATGGCATAGATGTAGGTCAAGACAATCCCAAATTCCCTTCTGTGAGTTTTTTCCCCTGTAATACTGTGTTTAGAGTAAACAGCGCTAACCTAGTTTTACCCATGATGAGTTTAATTTTGGACATATGGTTGATGTCGTTTTATAATGTTTGTTTCGAGGTTATTCATTGTCCCCTTTTTTCAGTCTGGACTGCTTTTGGATGTCAGTCATTTTTAAAGCCTATTGGATCCACTTCTGACCTTCATGATGTTTTAGGCCAAAGCTTTTTTTTAAATCTATTTTTTCCTCTAATCACAACATAATAACAGGACCTCGATTTCCCCTCAAATCCTTTTCAGGTCACTCCCTCCCTCCAGACCTCTTTGTCTTTATATCAGAAGGGCTTTTTAGGAATGAGTTTACTGTGGGTTTGTTGCTCTGTTAGTCTCCTTTAGTGGATGTTGTTGAGTTACGTACTGTATCTCATGCTGGAGTGTAGTGATATAATGTACTTTTATTATTTTTGACAAAATGCGTTCTTTGATGAAGTCACTTTGGATAAAAGCATCCACTAAATGTGTAAATGTAAATAGTTGACCACTGAGCATAATGCATGCTTGAATGTACTCTACATAGACGTGAAATATTGGCAGTCATGCCATACCAAAGACATTGTAAACCTAGAAATATCCCTGATCCGCTGACATTTTGTATTGGTTTGGAGCACAGTACATGAGCTTAGAAAATGTTTATAGACCCAAGGATGCACCAAAATGATAATAACGTAAGTTTATGCTGTCATTTGATTTGTATAGAATATTGAGGAAATACTGTATAAAATAATTGAATATTTTTGTGTCATTTTCTATCATTAAATTGTGTGTATATGTACCATTCAAAAGTTTGGGATTTTAAAGAAATTAATACTTTTATTCAACGAGTATGCATTAAATTGATCAAAAGTGACAGTAAAGACATGTATAATGTTACTATTTCAAATAAATTCTGTTCTTTCTAACTTTCTATTCGTCAAAGTGAAAGAAAACACAATGGGCCTTATTTACGAAACAAACGTACGACAGAAAACGGCGTACGGTCGTTTCAGCGCAAAACTTGGAATTTATCAATTTGGACGTGAACGGTGGCTACGCTCAAATCTCACGTCTGGTCTCAGCTCGTGTACGCAAGTTTTTGAGTAACTTGAACTTGCGCAGAGCATAGTAAATACGGTGGAGAATTGTAGAATGAGAGCATTTTGTTCATTTTTACTTTCCTGGCCGTCAAACGAAGCTCATTATTCGATCGTTAACCAGTAAGATTAGAATGTCTTTTTTTGTTGTTGTAGTTTTGTACAGGCTTTAGCTTTATATGTGCGAATAGTAGCATAAACAAGATTCAATCGTCACATCATGCACCTGCAGCGTTTCTGTGAAAGCAGAAAAACTGAAATTAAGTCTATAAAAGGAATAAAATAAATAGGATCACACAAAATATGTAATAGGCTAATATAATTAACAGATTAACAAAAGGAAAAAAACACTGTGCAACAAGTATAGGCTACGCTCGTTTTTGTGACGCTCTTAATGCAATTAATTTTTTTTCTTTGTCTTTACTTGATTTAATCCATCTGATCGCACAGGCGCCTCACACACACACACAACAACATTAGTTCTAGCGTTGCCTGCCATTTCAGCCATTCATCATCAAACTAAAATGCAGTCAACCAAACATAAAAGTAACACTGTTTATTTTAAAAGGTCCGCTGTAAAATCAGCATGCAGCGCCCAAACGAAATTTTTTGCGCGTGTGAAGGATTTTATATAAATATAAATGTAGCCCAATTGTTTGCAGTTACAATGTTAACGGGTGCTTTTGGAGTAAGATAAATTTCGCTTTCACGAGATTATTTCCTCTTTTTGGCCGGGTTTCGTTTCTCCGTGTCGTAAACTCTAGGGGCGAGGCTTTTAAACCACGGTGTTTTTATGGGCGTGATATTCAACTAACGATTGTTTTCTGCCGCCACATTTATCAACGTGCGATCATTCGTAAAATGAGATTTGCGGCATACGAATGTTTCATGAATCACGTGAGAACTTAAGTTGATTTGTGCGCACGGATCTGTGCTTGTTTCTACGTTAGATTGATAAATGAGGTCCATTGTATCCACAAAAATATTAAGCAGCTACTTTTTCAGAAACTTTTTCAACACTGATAATAATAAAAAAGGTTTCTTGAGCAGCAACTATTAGAATGATTTCTTAAGGATCATGTGACATTGAAGATTTAAAGATGTGGACAATTGAGCTTGCATCACAGTAATAAATAACATTTTGAAATATATTAAAATACAAAAGCATAAAATTTTAATTTTTGATCAAATACTTGCAGCCTTGGTGAGTGTAAAAGACATTAAAATAATCTCACAGACCCCAGACTTTTGAGTGGTATTATTTATTAGTGTTATATTGGCCATTTAAAATGTCAAATTGTCTTTCACAGAAATAATTAGCTAAAGATATTTTTAGTATTTTAAGATGGAATGCTGTAGCTGTTGAATTATTAGGTTTTAAGCACCACAGTCAGCTTTGATGGATACTATGTTAGTTTATAGCTAATTTTTTGTTTTGTTTTTTGTTCTGGCGACATTCAGTCAACATCTCAAAAAATGCTGGTAAGTTTATTTTGTGAAACAGAAATTTGTTTTATTTGGTCTTCTGTGATTTTATTTATTTTTCCTTTCGACTTGGTTTTTAATTTTTGTCCCTAAAAAAATTCATCCATATGCTGGTTCTCACTTAAAACGCACCGAAACCTGCTTTATTTTCTGCTGGTCACAATCCATCAATCAACCAATAGCTCTGTTAACGTTTCGTTGACTCCTGCTGGATCTGAGAACAAGGCTTTCATTTGCTTCTTTCTTTAAAGGGGTCATATGAAGAATATCTCTTTGAGTTTGTGACTTTAGTCTTTGCAACTTCAGGGATCTTATCTGTGCACAATCTGCTTGTAGCACTCCAAAGAGAATGGAAAACTTGAAATCACATCATATGACCCCTTTAAAGTCTTCATTTAACTTTTTTACAATACTTTGCCAAAACTCCATGTTTCCACCCCAAACCCCACCTCTGCATCCATGCATCACCTCATGTTCTTGAATCCGTTTGTTTGATTTGTTGTGATCAGCACGCATGCTCTCCACGAACGTGGTGTTTAACTCCTGATTTCTCTTTGACAACCTGTCCTGTTTAGATCCATTGTGTGTATGCTAGAAATGTTGCATTGTTGCCCATTGCTTGTGCTGTACTATTTCAGACCTCATAATAATGATATGAACATGAATATTGCCTCTCCATCCTGCACTAAATAATATAATTCTCTCAGAGAATGAATGCATCATACTTTTGAGGCAGATCTTCATTACTAAATGGCTGTGTTGAGATCGGTTGTCATGCTGATTGCTTTGCTGTGGTTGTGTTCAGGCTGTCATATAGGCATATCACCATTATTTCTTCTTTATTCACTGCATGAACTGGGAACAAATTTCTAACTTTTTTGTGCTTAGGCTATTTTAAGTTACTAGTGGTTACTTATCATCTCTTCTTAAGTGATCGAGCTCAAGCCAGATTCATCAGTAGTTCAGAGAGATCGCAGATATAAAGGTCTACTTGCACCAAGAGGCAATAGTTCACAACAGTGACCGCTCACGTTTTTAGAGAAAGTATGACCATTTTTCCCCATTTTCGCCAAAGGACTTTGTTAATGTTTCAATAAAGAGTTTTAAGCTCTAACCAGCTCTGACAGGAGCATTGCAAATTTGCTGGTCTGTGTTCTTAAAGCAATGCAAATGATTTAATTTCATTAAAAACAATGGCACAGTATAAAACTATTGGCTTAGTCATCGATTATAAGTATAAAACCAATATATGTTTTTATTGACCGACTTGTTTGTCATTTGCAATGCTTTATGGGAGTCTGTGGTTCATGCTGAGCTTTTTCCATCTGTTTCTGTTTCCTTGGTACCATTGATTTTCTCTGATTGGTGGTTCTGTCTTGAGGATTATGGGTAGACACTGACTTTTTCACCTTTTAAGGCATGTGACAAACAAATGTTGGGAAGTTCTAAAAGAACTGTTAAAACTGAGTGGTGTCAATCTCAAAAAATTAGGAAAGAAAGCAACAAACTAATCTAAAGTCTAATGGCACACTGAATATCATTTTTCTGTGACTACATACAACACCTCCAAATAAGTAGGCTGAAAGTCTCATTTAACTGTATAATATATTCAATACAACTAAAACATCCTATATATTAACTGTACATGTGGAAAAAGTCAAATATGCCTTTAATCTATGTTTTTCCATTTCTTTATTTAGTTTTTGGTGTGAGTAGGCCTTTGTGTTCTTTCAGATATTTAATAAAATCCATACATTTACAAATTCAGTGTGGACTGCAGAAGCAGATTTTTGGGTACCACGTCTCCATTTGTATCACAAAAACATCAAGAACCTAATTTCAAAACTGAATTAAATTACATAGAACAGCTCACTGCATATACAAAGTTAGCCATTGTAGTGATTAAACTAATGATGGGATGGGTTATAAACGGGTTTACATAAATGTGACCCTGGACCACAAAACCAGTCATAAGGGTCCATTTTTGAAATTGAGATTTATACATCATCTGAAAGCTGAATAAATAAGCTTGGCCGAGATACAACTATTTGAAAATCTGGAATCTGAGGGTGCAAAAAAATCTAAATATTGAGAAAATCACCTTTAAAGTTGTCCAAATGAAGTTCTTAGCGATGCATATTACTAATCAAAAATTAAGTTTTGAAATATTTACGGTAAGAAATTTACAAAATATCTTCATGGAACATGATCTTTACTTAATATTAAAAGAAAAACCTTTTATGCCAAATTTGGGCTATTGCTACAAATATACCCCAGCGACTTAAGACTGGTTTTGTGGTCCAGGGTCACAAATATCTTTGAGGTTGGGTTATTATCACTTATTTAGCTTGATTATATCCAGACAGGTTAGTAATATTTCTCTGGTTCTTTTGCAGTCCACTCCTCTTCACCTTGCCGCTGGGTATAATCGTGTGCGTATAGTGCAGCTGCTGCTGCAGTACGGTGCTGATGTCCATGCCAAAGATAAAGGGTGAGCAACACCTGATTTCTCTCTTTAACATGCAGTGTCCGATAACGTATTTTTGCTTCAATAATGACATATTAAATAAAAAGAAAAAATTATATTCTAAGTATATAAATGATAGACTGTTACCCATTTTTTGAAAGAAATTAATAGTTTTGTTCATCAAGGATTAAACTGATCAAAAATAATAGTGACAAAAGATTTCCATTTCAAATAAATTCTGTTCTTTTTAACTTTCTATTCATCAAAGAATCCTGAAAAACAAAAGTTTCCATAAATATATTAAGCGGCACAACATTGATAATAATCAGAAATGTTTCTTGAGCAGCAAATCAGCATATTAGAATGATTTCTGAAGGATCATGTGACACTGAAGACTGGAGTAATGATGCTGAAAATTCAGCTTTACATCACCGGAATAAATTACATTTTAAAAAACATTTAAATAGAAAACACTTAATTTAAATTGTATTAATATTTCACAATATATTACTATATTTTGATCAAATAAATTCAGTCGTGGTGAGACTTCTTTCAAAAACATTTAAAAATCTTCCCAACCCCGAACTTTTGAACGATAGTGTATATATAATATGTTATTACATATATAATGTTTAATTAAAAAAATGTGCACTGCTAAATAAGACCAGAAATGTATATTTGGAAAGTAAACATGGCGGTTTTTGAATTCATGTTAACTTTAAATGCTTTTATCATGATCTTGAATAATTCTGAAATGTTGTTTTGCTCTATCACTCTCTTTCTATCAGTGGTCTAGTTCCTCTGCATAATGCCTGCTCTTATGGTCACTACGAGGTCACAGAGCTTCTGTTGAAGGTAAAGAAAACAATCCAGCCAATACTTACTGATCAAAATATATTTGCTCCCCCAGCACAGATATAAACATGTGATTTATTGGTTTGATTATTAGTTTTTCATTACACAATAAAACACATGATTGATGAGTTTCTGCCTCGCTCACAGCACGGGGCGTGCGTTAACGCCATGGACCTGTGGCAGTTCACACCGCTGCACGAGGCGGCCAGTAAGAATCGATTGGAGGTGTGTTCACTGCTGCTGAGTCACGGCGCTGATCCCACACTGCTCAACTGCCACGGCAAGAGCGCGGTGGATGTGGCGCCCACACCTGAACTTAAAGAGAGACTCACCTGTAAGTGACATTCATGCTGCTTTCTTTTTAGTATCACTGCCCTGCATTGTATTTGCTGAATGACATCCAGTACTTCTGCTGAATCGGGGTATTGGTCAGACGAGACCGATCCAAATCCGATATTCTGCGTATATTATTCTGTGTCGTTGTTAAGCCCCACGAAAGGCACAAAAACGTTATAAAGCACCATAAAGTGTCTGTGCACTATATTCTAAGTGTTCTGAAACCGTTCCATAGTTTAATGGGAGGTACAGATTAATATTTAAGTCGTTAAATTCAAGTTCACGTAAACTCTTCTCTCCGCCGCGGCTGTCTGTCGGCCTCCATTCAGCATTCAAACTGCAGGTCACATTCGGTGAGACAGTCAAGATGATTAAACTTTCCAAGATGATTCAAGGTTCCCATTATTATAGTTGATCTGCAGATAAAGATCAGTGGTTTTGCATAAAAGGACTTTATTTTGCTGGAGTTTAGTGCTGTTTCTAAAGCATGTTACTCTACCGGGTGTCTGTTAGAGATCACTAAACTGGAGTAGAGAGCACTATGAATTGTTCTTCACGCGCACAGTAACTGAAATTTAAAACTGTTAAAAGAAAAGGCTCTATCACTCAGATATAATACACTACGCATCAATATCTCTTCATTTTGTGCTTTGAACTTTTCTATGCGGAGCACTGCGTGCCGTGTTGCTTTTAATTTTTTTGTATATATATTTACTTGTTTTTCAAGAATGTATTTTACAACAATACAAAGAGCAATTATGTGTAACATTTTACCAGACTTAGTCCTACACTTATTCATTTTATTTGTTCCCTACTAAATAATGTTAATTCACTTTATACAACAAATCTGATTGGTTGAGAACCGTGAGATATTGTACTGGTATCGCTACAGGAACACCCTTTCACAATTTTGTATCACTCCGCTTGTTCAAGCCCGGTCTATGTTTTTTTTTTTAATTATTCACTGAGCTAATCGTGGCGTACGTTAGTTAATATAAGAAGAACCGTCTAGCTTTGCGGTCTCTCTCTCTCTCTCATTTGCTGCACGTCTTGCCGCATTGTTTCTCTCTTATAACCTCATTATTTCTCACTAATAACCTAACTGAAGCAGCACATGCCCTTGATACGAATTCTAAAAGTGACGTATGTTTAACTGTCAGCTTGAGCTTTGAATCCGTGGCGGAAGGAAGTAGTTCGGCACAAAAGAGGGTTTTATTAGGCACTCCGTTGTTTCTTGTTTAATTACACATGTTCCGTCGAACTGTTGTATAAACGCAATATCACTCTCGTACTCGAGCGATACCGGCTTTTTATCAGCGGCTGTGAGTGCCTCTGGCCTAATCAAAGCCATGCTGATATAGAGCCGGTATCGCTCTTGTACTCGAGTGATATTGCTCATTAATGTTTAGATTTTATAAAATTATTGTGTGCACTCATCATTTTTCTAGAGTAACTTTTACTGCTGAATTATCCACTAACCTTGTTTATAATAGTATTTTTGTCATATATTATGATTATATATATTTTAATTAGTTAATTACACACATGTTCCGTCGAACTGTTGTATAAACGCAATATCACTCTCGTACTCGAGCGATACCGGCTCTATATCAGCGGCTGTGAGTGCCTCTGGCCTAATCAAAGCCATGCTGATATAGAGCCGGTATCGCTCTTGTACTCGAGTGATATTGCTCATTAATGTTTAGATTTTATAAAATTATTGTGTGCACTCATCATTTTTCTAGAGTAACTTTTACTGCTGAATTATCCACTAATACTATCCACTTGTTTATAATAGTATTTTTGTCATATATTATGATTATATATATTTTAATTAGTTATTTTTCTGTATCATGAAGTTGTCTATATTTAGTAGATTGTGTTTAACACACAAAACAGTGATGATGTTGTTTTTAAAAAAAAAAAACTGCTGGTGTCTAATCGGCCGATACTCAGAATTTTTGGGATCGGATCAGTTCTGAAAAAAATGTATTGGTGCGTCCCTAAAATTATGCATTTCATACCATTTTTTGCTTTTAACAACCATTTGTTAGGTAAAATAGCATTGTATTATCCCTTAATCAGCAGAAAAACTGCCACAAAGAAATAATTCCTAATTTCCTCTGAGCCAGATTAAAACTATTTGTTCAATTCTCAGCTGATATTCACATGTATTAAATTATTTTATGCTTAATCCTGACTTCAAGGTTAGAATTATGGTGAGAGAAGAAAATGCAAATTTACTGCATGCAAACAGCAAAGCTTATTTTGTAAAGTTTTTGAACCAAAATGTCTTTTTTTGTAATGCCTTTGCAGACTGTTAGTAAATAATACATTTTGAATACTTTTGTTGTCATTAAAACCATAACTTTTGTAATTTGACTGCTTTTATAATTGCATAAAATTTTGGTAAGTGCTTTAAAACTCATATATGTAATAAAAAAATTCTTCATGATTATTTTGTAAAAAAACAACAACTATGTGATGGAAAGTTTTTATTGATATTTTTGTACTTGGCATCATGACATTAGGTAATCTTTGGCCTTTTTTTGCAATTTTTTTAAGATGCAGGGCTGCCTATTAGTAATCGTTTGACCTTTTTGCGATTTCCTTCATCCAGATGAGTTCAAAGGGCACACGCTTTTGCAGGCGTCCCGTGAGGCGGACATGACAAAAGTCAAGAAAACCGCTCAAGAGATCATCAGCTTCAAACACCCTCACTCGCACGACTCTGCTCTGGTGAGCACTTTACATGGTCTCCTCTGAATGGGGGTTTTATGGTGTGTTTATTAAAATCTCTTTATGATGTTCGCAGCACTGCGCCGTAGCCTCTCCTCATCCCAAACGCAAACAGGTCACAGAGCTGCTGCTGCGGAAAGGCGCCAACATTCATGAGAAGAACAAAGAGTGAGAGTTCAACTTTAGATATGAAAAAAAAAACTGTGTACAATTTATTTGAAACAATTTTCACTTTGAAATTGCTAGTAAATTTCACAAATAATTACAAATAAATGGCAAGTAAGACGTTCTCACATATTCTTTCTCTTTCTAAGTTTTATGACTCCGTTCCACGTAGCGTCTGAACGAGGTCATAATGACGTGCTTGAAGTCCTTCAGAAACACGGAGCAAAGGTACCAGCATCCTCAGACTGCATGGGACTGCATTTCATTATGAGCTGTTTTAGGAGATAGCCGCCATCTATTTAGGCAACTACTTTCATCTTCGACTATATTTAAAGCCTGTTATATTATCTCTTGGACCCTACATTGAATATTGTGCCAGACTCCAGGACTTCTTTTTTAATAAATCAATTTGTAAATGATAAAACGATGATAATTTCAAATTGTTATATACTGTGTTATACTATAGTATACTATATTACTATGTTAAATACTAGATTATATACTAGGGCTGCGTGATTTTTTTTTTTTTCTTTGTGATTGTGATTTTTGTGTGTCAAAAAATTCCTGGTTTGCTGTGCTTGTTTGTAGGGCCGTACAGTTTGACCAAAATTTTATGATTACATATCAGTATGGCTATAAAATAATAATAATCATTATGATGATGATTATTATATATTTTTTAAATACTCCAATTTTTATTCTACAGTAAAATATTACAATTATAATTTTCCTATTGTTTTTTTTTTTTTTTTGTAGTTTTTAAATAATTTTTTATTAGTTGCGCAGTCCTATTATATTTTTAAATATAGATTTTTAGTGTCTACTTCAGTTTTTTGGGATGCTGACAAATAGGTCGTTTCACTTCTTGCTTAAAGGAACATTCCACTATTTTTGAAAATTGGCTCATTTTCCAACTCCCCTAGAGTTAAATAGTTGAGTTTTACCGTTTTCGAATCCATTCAGCCGATCTCCGGTTCTGGTGGGAGCACTTTTAGCTGTAGCTTAGCATAGATCATTGAATCTGATTAGACCGTTAGCATCTCGCTCAAAAATGACCAAAGAGTTTCTGTATTTTTCCTATTTAAAACTTGACTCTTCTGTAGTTACATCGTGTACGAAGACCGACGGAAAATGAAAAGTTGCGATTTTCTAGGCCGATATGGCTAGGAACTATTCTCTCATTCCGGCGTAATAATCAAGGAACTTTGCTGCCGTATCATGGGTGCAGCAGGTGCAATGATATTACGCAGCACCTGAAAATAGTCCCCAGCACGCTCCCTGTGCAAGCAGGTGGTCACGTTGGTTATGTTGACGGAAGTTAGGCTATTTTTAGGCACTGCGTAATATCATTGCGCCTGCTGCACCCATAGTACGGCAGCAAAGTTCCTTGATTATTACATTATTCTAAAAATATAGAAACTCTTTGGTCATTTTTGAGCGAGATGCTAACGGTCTAATCAGATTCAATGATCTATGCCAAGCTACAGCTAAAAGTGCTCCCACCAGACCCGGAGATCGGCTGAATAGATTCGAAAACAGTAAAACTCAACCGTTTAACTCTAGAGGAGTTGGAAAATGAGCCTATTTTCAAAAATAGTGGAGTGTTCCTTTAATGTTTGTATGCTAAAATGAGTTTCCTCCATGTTTGTTTTTTTTAGTAAACATGAAGTTTAAACCGAATATATTTTTATAAAATACAGTAAAAACTGTAATACTGTGAAATATTTTTGCAAATTAAAATGAACTAAAACGGTTTATTCTATTTGAATATATTTTAAAATATAATTTATTCCTTTGATGCAAAGCTGGATTTTCTGCATCGTTACTCCAGTCTTCAGTGTCACATGATCTTTCAGAAATCATTCTAATATGCTGATTTGCTGATCAAGAAACATTTCTGATTATTATCAATGTTGAAAACAGTTGTTCGGCTTCATATTCTTGATCTTCCTACTAAACCCTAAGTTCTCTTTAGAATAAACCTTTGCGTGTGTGTTTAGGTGAATGCTGTGGACACACTGGGACAGACAGCCCTGCACAGGGCGGCCCTTGCCGGTCACATCCAGACTTGCAGACTATTGCTAAGTTACGGTGCTGACCCATCAATCATTTCACTGCAGGGCTTCACTGCGTCACAGATGGGCAATGAAGCCATACAGCAAATACTCAATGGTACTATTACAGTTTTACATCTATTACTCTTGAGTCTTATTACAGTATGGTTAAAGAATTAACTGTCCATTTATCCTAACAACACGATGTCCTGAATTTATCTGCATTTATTTCTCCAGAGAACATTCCTCCTCGTAATTCAGACGTGGATTACCGCTTTCTCGAGGCTGCTAAAGCCGGAGACCTTGACACAGTCAAGGTAAATAACAGTTTCAGAATTTAGCGAGTTTAAAGTCAACGTGGTACAAATCTGTTTCACTTTTGCAGTGTGGCAAAATAGGACATTTAATGATGATAAGATACATTAAAAGGGACTTAATCTGTTCTAAAGATTTAAAAGCAATCAGGAAATCAATAAATATTTATTTATTTGATGGCAATTTGTTTGTGTGTCTTCCGTAGCAACTGTGCTCCCCTCAGAACGTGAACTGTCGTGATCTGGAGGGCCGTCACTCCACCCCGCTGCATTTTGCTGCAGGGTACAACCGTGTGGCCGTCGTGGAATACCTGTTGCATCATGGGGCCGACGTGCACGCTAAAGATAAAGGGTGCGGTCATCATCTCAATTAGGTTGACTACCATTGAGCTGTGTCGGGATTATCTGACATGCACTTGTTCTCTTTCTTTCTCTTTATCAGTGGTCTGGTTCCTTTGCACAACGCGTGTTCATATGGTCACTACGAGGTGACAGAGTTGCTGGTGAGACATGGAGCGTCTGTGAACGTGGCGGACCTTTGGAAGTTCACACCACTACATGAGGCTGCAGCCAAGGGCAAATATGAGATCTGCAAACTACTGCTCAAGGTTCGATACTTCAGATGGAGAAATCGTGCACATGTTGGGATAATTATGAATGTCATGATTGTGTGGGAATTTCATATAATATTAATGTTGTTTAGTGTTATCACGAGTTATAATTATGCACTGATCATTTATTAATGCACCAAAATTGAGATTTTTAGGTACATTGGGCTGAAATCCAAAAGTAAAAAGTTACTTTTTGGAATTCATAAAAATTCTATAAATATTGTACTATTTTAATATATTATAAATTACATATTTGTAAATATTATATAATTTAACTATTATTATTATTTATTGTTATTATTATTATTGATGTTCGAATAAAACAGTGACCTAAAAATAATTCTAAATAATCATTCTAACTGAGAGATTTAATTAATGAGATTGAAATTTAAA